TATATATATATATTCTGTATACAAATTTACCCATAGTTGACAAATACATCCGAAGGACAAGACATTTAATATAGTTTGAAATCAATCAATAATCATATAACTTTTCTATGCATGAAAGAACGTGTGGTGTCATGGTGAGTTCAATAACGTGCCAAATAACATGCCCATTAAGTGCGCTAAATGAGATTCTTAAATATACCGCAAGCGCGTTTGGCGCACGTCATATTGACTTTTCTGTGATGGAAATAATCTCACCTTTTGAAATGATGTGTTTTGGTGTTTTTTTTTAAGTTTGGGACATTATAATATTAATATAGTTCAGGGGCGTGAAAAAAAAGTGTCCAGTTGCGAGCCTAAATTTGGGGTGGGGTGCCCAAATTGGGATACTTATAAAGGGCGTTATTTGAATGCATGTTTTGTCCAGTCATAGTAGAAGATGCGAAGTTCACGCATTGCTGGGCTGGCTATCAACGGCCTTAAAAAGTAATTCCTTGGCCCAGAAGAGGAACAACTTGTTTGATTTTAAATTGGTTTTCTAAAAATGGGGTTTTTCCTTTCACGGCGGGAATCTATTAATAGAACATCCGGGCGTACATTCTGGCCAAGCTCATTAAGCCATTGATAAAACATCCGGGCATTCCGTTTGGCCAATCTCTCACCAGCTGTTCGGCACTTCAACGTTAACGTGAGCCACCGTCGTGGGTCTTAACCTAGACGGCAACGTGTTGACAACTTTAGTTCACAAACAAGTTGGTACATCTGTATATATGCAGGAATACATTGGTAGAGGCTATGCGTTACGAGAACATCGTCTAAAAATAGTAACATTACGTAATGTGCTGTGACGATTTCCGGTCTTATAAATGACAGCCCTATTTAACGCGCTTTTTTTTTGGGGGGGGGGGCATGCATTCAGCTGATCTTTGATTTCTATTTCTCTGATGAGACATGTGTTTTGAAAATCTATTTTTGATATGCTATACTTGGGCCTGTTCAAAACCATTGAGTCTGACCGTAGATTAAATTTGATGGGGAACCCTGACGCCGCCACTGCAGAGCAGATAACAAAGAAATGCCCTCTCATGCTCAGACAATGTACCTAATTTATTGAAAAGTTAAATTTATTCAACGGACACATTAATCGTAGGTACATCTTCGATCGACTGCACGGCTTCCTTGCCAGTATCGCTCGACACGTCCGGTTTCTCAAAGCACGACCTGCAATGCAGCAACACCATCAACTGTTGGCGGAACCTGTTGGCGCTGACAAAGTAGATGATGACGTTACACGCGTGCAGAAACAAGGAGATGCTCGAGACGATGGCGTGGGCCAGAAGGGACTCTGCCCTCTCGATCGTATTTCTCGAAGGGATGGTATAATGTCTGGGGACCACAATGCACGCTGGAAGGGTCAGGATGAGAAAAACTGTGGCCGAGAAGAAAAGCATGACGGTAATGCTGTGCTCTATCTTGGACTGTCTCTCTGCCTGTGTACAGCTGGCACCGCCGGAAGTAGCAGCGGGGGCTAGGCGCGCCTCCCCCATGAAGAGTTTCCTGTTGCTCTGAATCTTGCGCAGCTCCACCGCTATGGCTATGACCAGGAGGAAGATCAGAGCGAACGGCAGAATGGTGTAGGCCAACACTTCAAGGTACAGCCCAAACTTATGAAGGCGTGTGTAGGCTGGATCCACACTGCACAAATCATTGTCGAAGCTGGCCGACCACAGATGGGTAGAAGACAGGCCGAGCATCACGACGCCAATAACGAAGGCGCTCATCCGGGCTCTTTTAATCGTGAAATAGTAGCTCTTTTGTAGGGGGAACCGAACTCCCAGGAAGCGCTCAAACGTGATCAGCACGAGCGTCCAGTGGGCATACAGAGAAGTGAATGACCACAAGAAGTATTTCAGTTTACAGACAGCAACTGTCAGTACGTGGAGACGCTCCAGAGTGTGAAAAATCCCATGCATTGACAACGTGATGAAGTCGGCCATGGACAGAAGCGCCACGTAGAACGTCCCAGTGGACAAGGCCATGGTCCGGATGGTCAGGAGGGACAAGATGTTTCCGGGAATGCCCAGAAGCAGTATGAAAATCACAGGATAGTTACGGAAAAAGTCTACGTGTGAGCAGATGTCCTCCACCTTTGTGAGCACTCTGTTGTTATCGACAAAGCCCGGCCTGCCATTCCTCATGGCTGTATCCACATACAGACAGAAGTGTAGCGTGCGTCCTATCAACGCTTCACCCGTAGTATTTGCATACGACTGGTTGTAATCCATTTTACTTGTATTGGCGTTGACTTCTGGACACTAACCCAGGCGTTTCAAAAGATCTACTTTTCTTTTCTTCAAACCTTTCACCGCCTTATAGTTTAAAAAAGTCTCTTTTTTTTAAAATTAAAGTCATAAGCTTATTCCATAGTTGACACAAGCCACGTGCGTCACGGTATGCTCCTGCGTCACGGTAGAACTCCTGCGTCACGGTAGAACTCCTGCGTCACAGTAGAACTCCTGCGTCACGGTACAGCTCCTGCGTCACGGTAGAACTCTTGCGTCACAGTAGAACTCTAGCGTCACAGTAGAACTCTTGCGTAACAGTAGAACTCTAGCGTCACAATAGAACTCTGGCGTCATGGTAGACCTCAAGGGTCACGGTAGAACTCGATGTCACTTCTGAATTTATTCTTCCCGCGTGAGCTTTTTTCACGTTTCTAAATTTAATTCATTCATTGGTGGCCTGGTTAGTGGTGGCCTGGTCAGTGGTGGCCTGGTCAGTAGGGAACTGGTCAGTGGTGGCTTCGTCAGTAGGGAACTGGTCAGTAGGGAACTGGTCAGTGGTGGCCTGGTCAGTAGGGAACTGTTCAGTGGTGGCCTGGTCAGTAGGGAACTGGTCAGTAGTGGCCTGGTCAGTGATGGTCAGGAAACAACGAAATGCATTCTTCTCTGTAGAACTGATCGAGTTATTTCCTCTGTGCTACAACGCGCGCCCCTGGAACCTGAAATAGAAATGAATGACGAGTTTTGGTTGATGACAACATTAGGAGATATTTTAGCAATATCATGGGCAATATTGGTCTACTTAATTGGCAATATTGGTCTACTTAATGGGCAATATTGGTCTATTTAATTGGCAATATTGGTCTACTTAATTGGCAATATTGGTCTACTTAATTGGCAATATTGGTCTACTTAATTGGCAATATTGGTCTACTTAATTGGCAATATTGGTCTACTTAAATGGCAATATTGATCTATTTAATTGGCAATATTGGTCAATTGGCAATATTCGTGTTTTTATTTGTCAATAGTGGTCAATTGGCAATATTCGTGTTTTTATTTGTCAAAAGTGGTCAATTGGCAATATTCGTGTTTTTAATTGTCAATATTGACCTATTTAATTGGCAATATTGGTCAATTGGCAATATTCGTGTTTTTATTTGTCAATAGTGGTCAACTGGCAATATTCGTGTTTTTATTTGTCAAAAGTGGTCAATTGGCAATATTCGTGTTTTTAATTGTCAATATTGACCTATTTAATTGGCAATGTTGGTCTGTTTAATTGGCACAATGTTACCTAGCTGCCATGTCTTTTTTCCTGTATGGTTTTTACAATTTTACTCCAATGACTTCCGTTACACTTTACTTTACTTTACTTCTCTCTGTCTGTCTGTTGTTTTCGCCCACTCCAATTTGGACTCAACAAGGAGATGTCGCTTGATAACCCGCTGTAAACGGGAATTCAGTTAGGGTTATTTTTAGCTCACATCCTACAGAACTGTAAAGGTGAATGTGTTTGTAAATTAATCGGCGCGCCTTTGTCAATCGTTTCAGGGGCGTAGGAAGCGGAATGGCGGGTGAAAACAAAACGGGGAGGGGGAATCATCCATCCGCCTCAAGAAAATATGGAATGACAAAAATATAGCCCCCAGCACCAAAGTCAGGCTGTTGCGCTCATTAGTCCTCTCCATTTTCCTGTATGCATGCGAATCCTGGACATTAACAGCCTACCTTGAAAGGAAAATAAAGGCGATGGAGATGAGATGCTTCAGAAGCATTTTTGGCATCTGCTATAGGGACCATATCTCCAATGATACAGTGAAAGAAAGGGCTCGCCAGGCAATTGGGGAGTACGATGACCTACTGGTGACTGTGAAAAAACGCAAACTAAAATGGTACGGCCACGTAACAAGGAAACAAGGGCTTACCAAAGAAATATTGCAGGGCACCACAAGAGGAGGGAGAAGAAGAGGAAGACAAAGAAAAAGATGGGAGGATAACACCAAAGAGTGGACAGGACTAACACTGGGCGATGCTGTGCGTAGTGCAGAAGACAGAGACGAATGGAGGAGGATAGTTCACATGTCATCTGGGCCGCCCCATTGGTCCAAGGACTAAGGGACATGATGATGATGATGATGATGATGATGATGATGATGATGATGATGATGTCCATCCAGGACGGTTCGGCTCTTTTTTAGCTTTAAATTGCCTTATTGTTCAAGAAACATGCAATGATAGCCATTACATGCAAGGGGCGCCATTACATGATAGGGGCGTCATTACATACAAGGAGCGCTATTGCATGCAAGGGGCGCAATTACATGCAAGTTGGCGCCATTACATACAAGGGGCGCTGTTGCATGCAAGGGATGCCATTAGCAATTTTATACAAGACATAACGATATTTTTACCCCAAAAAATCGTTAATATTTAACTGGGGTGGGATCACTGTTGGAGGGAGAACAGAGCCGTCACGTGGCCCCCCTCATCCAGCACCTTTCAGATTTTGTGCAATCGGTAATCAAATTTGATCTTTGTTCTCAATATCACAATATTCTACCCCATTCATATTACAACATTTTACCACTTTCAAATTACAACATTTTACCCCTTTCATATCACAACATTCCACCCCATTCATATTACAACATTTTACCACTTTCAAATTACAAAATTTTACCCCTTTCATATTAAAAAATGTTACCCCTTTCAAATAACAACATTCCACCCCTTTCATATTACAAATTTCCACCCTTTTCAAATTACAACTTTTTACCCCTTGCATATTACAACATTAAACCCTTTTCAAATTACAACACTTGAACCCTTTCATATTACAACTTTCCAACCCCTTTCATATCACAACATTTTATCCTTTCATATTACAACATTCCACCCCCTTTTCATATTACAACATTCCACCCTTTTCATATTACAACATTTAGCCCCTTTCATCATTACAACATTCCACCCTTTTTATTGTAACAACATTTTACCCCTTTCATATTACAACATTCCAACCTTTTCATATTACAACATTTAGGTCCTTTCATCATTACAACATTCCACCCTTTTTATTTTAACGACATTTTACCCCTTTCAGATTACAACATTCCACCCTTATAATATTACAACATTCCACCCCTTTCATGTAACAACATTCCACCCCTTTCATATTACAACATTCCACCCCTTTCATATTACAACATTCCGCCCCCTTTCATATTACAACATTCCACCCCTTTCATATTACAACATTCCACCCCTTTCATATTACAACATTCCACCCCTTTCATATTACAACATTCCACTCCTTTCATATTACAACATTCCACCCCTTTCATATTACAACATTCCACCCCTTTCATATTACAACATTCCACCCCTTTCATATTACAACATTCCGCCCCCTTTCATATTACAACATTCCACCCCTTTCATATTACAACAATCCACCCCTTTCATATTACAACATTCCACCCCTTTCATATTACAACATTCCACCCCTTTCATATTACAACATTCCACCCCTTTCATATTACAACATTCCACCCCTTTCATATTACAACAATCCGCCCCTTTTATATCCAAACTTTCTGCTTCCACTGGCGGAATGAACCCTCCCCCCTCCGTGACGGCCCTGAATTTAAGGTCTGAAAGCCAAGTGAACCAAAGATCAGCCTTTTGCTCATCTCTACTGTAGCACCTTTGTGGAATGACTTCTTTATCAGCTCTAATGTTAGGGTGACGAACATGAGACTCGAATGACAGCTACACGAAAGAAAAAACAACTTTTTACCGTAACGAAGATAAAATAAAAATTCCATTCATAGATTTTTACAGCACACATTTTAGGATTAGTTAATTAATTATTTTTTTTTTTTAATGAACAAAATTTAACTTAATCGGTTTTGATTACAATTTCTTGTCCGTGCCTCTCAAATTTATCTAACTCTTGGAGCTCTTTTTACCATCAATTTCCATGGAGGGTCCCCTTAAGCTTACTGAACGTCTCTCTAAGTAGTGGTGTTTGTTTCATTTTTTCTGGAGCAGCCATGGGAATCACTGAGACGGGCACCCAGGACCATGAGGGCTCCACGGAGCACAGGTTGGCAACCACTGCCTTATATATATATATTTATAATCCGTCTGATTCACTTGTCCAAAAAAAGTACTAATCATATGGGAAAGCAACAGTTTCTCTTGTCCGCACAGTAATAGCTCAGTCGGCCGACCAAAAATATGCATTTGCCGAATCTAATTATTTCAGTGTCTAGCTTTCCCGCAACTTACAGAAATGGGGCGGGCCAAATATAAATGACGACCCCCTACACCCTCCCCGCACACTTTTGATTATCCCCGCGCGCCTTTCCCCACCCCCCCCAACAAACCCCCCTCCCCCCCACCAGTTCCCTATTCGCGTGAGCCACTCATCATTTCAACAACAACATCTCAGATTCTGTAGCTTTAGACTTTGGCTGCAGCTTGACTTCAATCCCGGCTAGTTGTTGGTCTGTTTGTCTGTTTGTTCGTTCCTTGTGGATTTTTCTTTGTGTTTTTTTTTTTTTAAATATTTCTTTTTCTTTAAAACCTTAAGTCATTAATAAGGTCATACAAACATGGTGATATCCGCTACTGTCAAATCTCTTCAGAGGCGTAGCTAGGAATGGGGCTGGTCTCCCCCCCCCCCACGCTCCACTTCCACGGAAAGAACTCTGCGGTTGGCCCATCCATATAAATAAAAATGTGCTCACCTTGGTGGAACCACCCTAATACCCCTCTCCACATTCCTCCAATATTCCCTCAACTAATCCCTTGACTATTCCCTCCACTATCCCCTCCATTATTGCCTCCACTATCCCCTCTACTATCCCCTCGACTATCCCCTTCGCTATCCCTTCCACTATCCTCTCCACTATCCCCTCCACTCATCCCTCCACTATTACCTCCATTATCCCTTCCACTATCACCTCCACTATCCCCTCAAATATCCCCTCCACTATCCCCTCCACTTTTCCCTCCACTATCCACTCCATTATAACCTCCACTATTCCCTCCGCGATCCCCTCCACTATCCCCTCCACTATCCCCTCCATTTTGCCCTCCACTATCCCTTTCACTATTCCCTCCACTATCCCCTCCCCTATCCCCTCCATTTTGCCCTCCACTATTCCTTTCACTATTCCCTCCACTATCCCCTCCACTATTCCCTAGACAAAACCCTCCACTATCCCCTAAACTATCCCCTCCACTATCCCCTCCACCATCCACCTCCACTATCCACCTCCACTATCCCCTCGACTATCCCCTCCACTATCCCTTCCACTATTCCCTCCATTATTTCCTCCACTATCCTCTCAAATATCCCCTCCACTATCCCCTCCACTATTCCCTAATATATTCCCTCCACTCTCCACTCAACTATCCCCTCCACTATCCCCTCTACTATCCCCTCCACTATCCCCTCCACTATCCCCTCCACTATTCCCTCGACTATCACCTCCACTATCACCTCCACTATCACCTCCACTATCACCTACACTATCACCTACACTATCACCTACACTATCACCTACACTATCACCTACACTATCACCTACACTATCCCCTCCACTATCCCCTCCCCTATCCCCTCTAATATCCACTACATTATTCCCTCCACTATCCCCTCCACTATTCCCTCCGTGATCCCCTCAACTACCCCCTCCACCATCCCCTCCACTATCACCTCCACTATTCTCTCCACTATCACCTCCACTATCACATCCACTATCCCCTCAAATATCCCATCCACTATCCCCTCCACTATCCCCTCAACGATCCCCTCTAATATACCTTCCACTATTCCCTTGTCTATCCCCTCCACTATTCCCCCCACCATCCCCTCCCCTATTCCCTCCACCATCCCCCCCCCTAGTCCCTCCGCCATCCCCTCCACAATCCCATCACCCTCCACTCTCCCCCTCTCGACCCCCCCACCTACCCCCCCCACCATCCCCTCCACTATCCCCTCCACTATTCTCTCCACTATCACCTCCACTATCACCTCCACTATCCCCTCAAATATCCCATCCACTATCCCCTCCACTATCCCCTCAACGATCCCCTCTAATATCCCTTCCACTATTCCCTTGTCTATCCCCTCCACTATTCCCCCCACCATCCCCTCCACTATTCCCTCCACCATCCCCCCCACTAGTCCCTCCGCCATCCCTTCCACAATCCCATCCACTATCCCATCCACTATCCCCTCAACATTCACCACAGCCCCTTATGTAGTCCAAGATTCACTCACTAACACTGCAGTAACACTGTACATCGCTAATCAAGTCTCTTAAGTCTAACAAACAGCAAAGCAAGTCGCTTAAGGCCAACAAACAGAATAGCAAATCTCTTTAGTCTAACAAACAGAATAACAAGTCTCTTAAGTGTAACAAACAGAAAACTAGTCTCTTAAGTCTAACAAAAACTGAATAGCAAATCTCTTATGTCTAACAAACAGAATACTAGTCTTTTAAATCTTACAAAAACAGAATAGCAAGTCTCTTAAGTCTAACAAACAGAATACAAGTCTCATAAGTCTAACAAAAACAGAATAGCAAATCTCTTAAGTCTAACAAACAGAATACTAGTCTCATAAGTCTCACAAAAACAGAATAGCAAGTCTCTTAAGTCTAACAAACAGAATACAAGTCTCATAAGTCTAACAAAAACAGAATAGCAAGTCTCTTAAGTCTAACAAACAGAATACTAGTCTCTTAAGTCTAACAAAAACAGAATAGCAAGTCTCTTAAGTCTAACAAACAGAATACTAGTCTCTTAAGTCCAACAAACAGAATAGTTTACATGTTTTTAATAATTGCAAAGCGCTTAGAGCTTTAAGGTAAACGCTATATAAAAATGCCTAAATAAATAAATAAATAGCAAGTCTCTTAAGTCTAACAATCAGAAGAACACAAAACCGACTCAAGCAATGCAAAGTAAAAAACAACAAAAAAAAACAAACCAATTCTCCTATGTATAGTATAACTGTAAGCCTAGATGCTACCTACCTAAGAAGCTAGAGTGCCATCAAATTTGAGTAGTGTCGATCCAAAACTTGATTTCCCCTGACGATACTTACACGGCACAAGTACTGAACGGCTGTGGCGCAAAGGAGAACAGAAAAAAATAGCGCTATTTTAGGCGCCTCCACTATTTGTGTGTTGTATTTCCGCTCAGGTTTTGTGGGAATAGACACGCAGCAACCGGCACCTTGTCCTACTTCAACATGCCGTGTGAGCAAGGCCAAGAATTGGACAGGAACTCAGCAAGCCTTTTTCTATGCCGAGCCACCCCGGCAAATAAGATGGCGGTATTTCGCCTTCAGAGACGGGCGATCGGAAGTCAAGAGAGCGGTTTAAAAATAGAATTTTAGGGGGTGGTGATACTCTGAGCTCTGGGTCAAAAACGGGTGGTTGGGTAGTGCGGGTTGGGTCCAAAAAAAAGTGGTTGGTGTATAATTTTGGAAGAAGGAATTATAAATTGATGAATGCATCTGGAGACAGCGAGGTGTGATGGGTTAATGTCTGAGTTGTGATGGGTTAATGTCTGAGGGGTGATGGGTTAATGTCTGAAGTTAATGGGTTAATGTCTTATGTGTGATTGGTTAATGTCTGAGGTGTGATGGGTTAATGTCTGAGGTGTGATGGGTTAATGTCTGAGGTGTGATAGTTAATGTCTGAGGTGTGATGGGTTAATGTCTGAGGTGTGATAGTTAATTTCTGAGTTGTGTTGGGTTAATGTCTGAGTTGTGATGGGTTAATGTCTGAGTTGTGATGGGTTAATGTCTGAGTTGTGATGGGCTAATGTCTGAGTTGTGATGGGTTAATGTCTGAGTTGTGATGGGTTAATGTCTGAGTTGTGATGGGTTAATGTCTGAGTTGTGGTGGGTTAATGTCTGAGTTGTGATGGGTTAATGTCTGAGTTGTGATGGGTTAATATACGCTTGACTCCTCCTTACGTCACGTGACTCCTTCGTCTTTTCAGGGTTCCACAATTGTATAATCAAATATTGATAAAAAGTATTGAGTTATGACGTCATTATTCTGTTTATTTCATGCGCTGAAAACACATCACGTGTCTTTCTCCGGATATTCAAAGACCGACCAGAAACCTATCTATTCTGTTTCTCATGTCCAATAGACCCGTCAGCTTGATTCAAAATGCCAGTCAGGTTAATGTGCACTCCAATTATTGTTGACTATACATTGCATTATGGTTTGGTTCTTAATTTTTTATTTTGTTTTTTTTTTGTATCCAATTTTCTGAACGAAATTTGTTCAGATGCAGTGACGTCACTACTGGGTTGTGCCTTCAGACAAACGGGTTTCAACTAGTTTTCGTTTGTTGTTTTTTTTTTTGTTTCAATGAGGGTGATCTCCCACACTTAAGCTCCCAACACTTGAAATCTACTCGAAGGAAAAGAGCGAAACAAATTATGGGAAAACTAAGGGCGCAATTTTGATAATGCCTTGTGATCTGGACACTAAAAGTGACGCGAGAAGTGAGACACAAGTGCAAAGGGATGTTATTTATGACCAGAAACTACATTAGAGATGTGCCGTATGTTGAATAGGCATCTCGTTACACCTTCATTTGCAGGATTCCCGCCAAGGTCTCGTCAATTCTCGAGAGTTCATTACGCAGAAGATTGCAGCCTTCGCATCTCATCTAGGGCAGGTGTATCTATGCAAGCCATCTTTGACCGGATCCCGTCTAAGCTGTGGCAGATGCATCTCTACAACCAAGCTGCCTCTAGGCTGTGGCAGATGCATCTCTACAACCAAGCTGTCTCTAAGCTATGGCAGATGTATCTCTACAACCAAGCTGCCTCTAGGCTGTGGCAGATGCATCTCTACAACCAACTGTCTCTAAGCTATGGCAGATGTATCTCTACAACCAAGCTGCCTCTAGGCTGTGGCAGATGTATCTCTACAACCAAGCTGCCTCTAGGCTGTGGCAGATGCATCTCTACAACCAAGCTGCCTCTAGGCTGTGGCAGATGCATCTCTACAACCAAGCTGTCTCTAAGCTATGGCAGATGTATCTCTACAACATGGCTGCCTCTACGCTGTGGCAGATGCATCTCTACAACCAAGCTGCCTCTAAGCTGTGGCACATATCTCTAATATATTCTTCTTTAAGATACTTCAGCTGTATCGCAGTCAAATCCCACTATCGTTGAATCAGTTCCAATTAAAAACTAAATAAAGGCCTTTTGTTTTCATAATTTATTTCAAAAATAAACATTCAATACTTTTGAAAAGCTTTCTTTGAATAAAATTCCATAAAAGCTCACAATAATATGTTTCTACATTAATAAAAACAAAAAATAATCTCACAAAGAAAAAAAAAGTTTGAATTATTTGAATGTTGAACTTTCTTGTTGTCTTAGGAGTTCCGCTTGGAACCACTGAAGGGTGTTTCATCACCAGGCTGGGGATCGTTGCTTCCATACAAAATGCTCTTAACGCACTCTTGCATTGCTTTAAACCAGCGGTTCTCAACATGTGGGTCGTGACGTGTTTGGGGTAGAAAGAACCTTACATAGGTGTCGCTTAAGACCATCGGAAAACACATTTATTTGAAGTAGCAATGAAAATAATGTTTTAGTTGGGGATCACCACAACTGTATTTAAGGACTGAGGCATTAGGAAGGTTGAGAATCACTGGTTTAAACGAAAATGAGACTGCACTTATCATCGCAGATATTAATCCAGGTTCCTAAAAAAATTTATTAAGCCTACCAGTAGTTTAAAAGATGCATTTAGAACAGGCCTGCACTGCATACGGCCCGCTAGCACACACTTTCCAGCCCACTAGCACCCACTTTGCGGCCCGCTAGCACCCACTTTGGGGCCCACTAGCACCCACTTTGGGGCCCACTAGCACCCACTTTGGGGCCCACTAGCACCCACTTTGGGGCCCGCTAACACCCACTTCGCGGCCCGCTCGCACC